GCGGTGGATCCTCACGGCCGGGCACTGCATCTGCAATGGATTGCAAAAGTTCATGAAACCAGCACAAATTCAGGGCGTCGTGGGTCTGCACAGCATCAGGGAGTACCTGAATGGGATCGGCAATGGCCCGGATGCACTGAGGGTGGCCTTCAAGAACATTGTGCCGCATCCGCAATACGATTGCAACAGTGTTCAGCATGATATTGGTAGATATTTACATATATTTACCTACTGGAAAAGTTGAGTGACATTTTTTCGATCTAGCTCTGCTGGAAGTTGAACGGCCCATCAGCTTTACCGCTAACGTACAACCGAGCTGTGTTGGATCGGACAAGGGACAGCGCAGCTTGGAGCAGGAGTACGGCACCGTCTCCGGCTGGGGATGGACCCATGAAAACCAAGCGGAGGGCGATCGTGCAGACGTCTTGCGCAAGGCCACTGTCAAAATATGGAATAACGAGGATTGTGAGCGTTCATATCGCGCCCTCGGCAAGAGCAACAGCATTGGGGAGACACAACTGTGCGCCGGCTACGAGAACGGTCAGATTGATTCGTGTTGGGTGAGTATGAGACTGGGCTGATAGAGCACAAATGTTATGGATATTACCACTCACCATTGCAGGCTGATTCCGGCGGCCCTTTGATGTCCAAGGAGCACCACTTGGTTGGTGTAGTATCAACGGGCATCGGCTGTGCGCGTCCCGGCCTACCAGGCATCTACACGCGGGTCAGTAAATATGTTCCATGGATTCAGAATGTAATAGGAAGTAGGAAATAATAGCTTAATACAAGTAATAGCCGAGGAGCAAACAAAGGCTGTGATTCAAGTGTGATATTAGTCTTACAATGTGAATTAATAAATTAAACAATTACAAAATGTATTATTATTCCAATATAATCCATTTAATACCATATAATATTATACTATTCTTTTCTTCATTCGGTCTATAATAATGATATAGTCTGACCCTAATTCGGGAATCTGATAGAAATGGTCATTCTCTCAGGAACTGAGATTTTGGTTTCTTTAATATTTGGATGCCACAGATTTTCGACCTTTGTGGCGTAGGAAGGGTGCGAAAATTGTTTGCAAAATTTGGTGGCTCCAGTTCCTATAGTCTATGAGTACACGCCGACAAACAAGACGGGCAAACGAACAGACAGACAGTCATAGACTCGGCTATTGGTGCTGATCACGAATATATGTAACACATTTCAGATACCATATGGGAACATATTCCCATCTCGATCCGAAAAAGGATTATTTCTGTCTTCAGTCGACAAAAACACATACACACACATACTCAAGACAGCTAGAAAACAGCAATAAATGAAGACAGTTTTGATAAAATTAAGGATATATGAATGTCTGCCGCGTGGCGCGCTGCGCGTTTAACCGATAGACGTTGGGAAAATATTTAGGGAAAATTAGACTAAACACAACTAAAGGAGCTAAACTAGCAAAATCACCAAAATCAAAGGCAAAACAAAAATAAAATAAAACTAACTACTGACTACTAACTAACTGATTTAAGAAGAGGAAGGGAGTTAGTGGAGGATATAATAGGATAGAGGGAATTATAAACCGAGCATAAGACCCTAAACGGTTCATGTAAGGCGTAGTTCGATCTACAAAGTGAAAGGAACAAAGGAATAAAGATTCTAGTGGGTCTAAAGGAAATCGTAAAGTTTATGCGGCTCAACAAGTCAGTGTTGTCTACTTCCCCCTTGATTAAGTTGTGCATACAAATTACACCAAGCATTTCTCTACGAATTACTAAGGATGGAAGGTTTATTAGAAATAATTTACTACGGTAGCATGGCAGTCTCACAGTTGCATACCAGTTGAGGCCACTCAGGGCAAAAAGTAAAACGTTTTTCTGCACTGATTCAGGTCCTGATGTATGTACATATGTTGTACTGTGGACACTACACACATGTGCCGTATTCTAAAATCGGACGAACAAGCGAGATATAGAAGATATTAGTTATTATAGGTTATATATAGTTATATAGTCATAAAATTAATTTGAACACCTCTTTATTATCCCAAGCACGCCCATAGCTTTATTTACCATGGTAAAAATGTGTTCAGATATCTTTAACTTGGGGTCTACTTTAACACCAAGATCATCAACCAATGTAATTCTCTCAAGAGAACTACCGCAGAGGGTGTAAGGAGCCAGTCAGGCGCTGGAGCGATGCATGTTTGTCCTCTAACCTTCTCAAATAACGTCAGCTTGCTTTCATGCAAAATTTGAATCTTTAAAAGACTTCACTTTGTAAACAACAACAAAACAGTGTACCCAGAGAGCATACACTTTGCCAATAGGTAAATATTATAATAGAGGTTTAAATATAAATATAAGTATAAAATATACTTTAAACGGTTCACAGTTTATAGATTGGTCATCCGATACAAGTGAAACGTCACCACTCAGTGTGCGTGAAGCGTACCCCGGAGCCTGCTACAAATGTATTAGTGCCAGTTGAACACACAGCCAATGATGCAATGATGATTTGTTTTGATTTTGTTTTCGGGGTTTAGCGTATAAACCTGACCTACCACAAATATGCAGAAGGGGGTTTCGAACAAAATAACTATACAAATAGATAAAACTATTATTATAATTGTTTTACATGCAGATTTTATACTGATTTATTCTAAATTGTATGCATATTATGTAAACGCCGTCGCTTCTCGACATTCCGCTTCTCCGCCTACGCATCAGGCACGCAAGGATTGGACAACTGACTTCAAATTTGATGCCCAAGTATAGCACAAAAATGTACATAGACCCACCGCGTACGTATTTCTTTGTTTTATATGTGAATATAATTTTTTGTGGAAATATATATGTTTATGTAACATACATATGTAATATATTTCTACATATAACACTACATTTTACATAACATGTAAATAATGTATTAATGTTATGCAACCAGTTTTTAGTCGATTCGACGACTTTATGCTTTGTTTGCTTAGTGCTTTCAATCTCAAAATATACCGACAACTCAATTTCGACATCAAAATATACAGAAAAGTATAAAATATGCCGTAAACGGTAGCCTGTTGCACTTGGTGTAAAAAAAGGTGAAAAGGGGCCGCTAGTAAAATCAGGGATGATATTCGTATGGAACCGATAAGAAATGTTGCCCAGCACAAACTACTTTTAGCGGCTGTACGAGGCTGTGCTTAGATCGAAAAAGAAACTGGCCGATGAATACTAGAAGCCGATGGTATTCGATGGTAGTATTCGAGTAGGTGGAAAAACATACATTTTTTGTATGTTCCGCGAGGATACCTAGCAAACAGAGAGTAAAGTCTCAATAAAATGGTCCACCGTGCTTCTCAACGAGCCATCAAACTGCAAAACATAAGGATACAATTGTTTTAACTTAACTTTGTTTAACTTATTGGAACCCCAGTTGCTTCATGTTGCCAAGACACAGACCCGGCAGGGCTGTTAACAAAATGTCTTAAGTTTTTTTCCATTTGGGACCAATTACTTCTCCATAGGGTCGTGCCAAGGGGCGTTGGCGACGATTTGAAATGGAGTGCTTGGGGGGCCATTTTACAACTTCGCCACGGCTGGAAATATTCCTTGGCACGGCCCTGGATAAGGATATCAATGATGGGATTTCCGATAGTCCCGAGACACGCGTCTGGTTATTTCTATAAAATATATTTCATTTATACTAATACACAAGTCATTTTAGCTATGTATATTCATTTAAAAAACAGATTTGAAGCTATACTGCCTAAAAAAGGCATGTTTAAATACGTATAAAACCGAACTAACTGCAAATTGCACATGTAAAGGCACACTCGTATTGTTCTAGGCGAACATGCTCTCATCCGTTGAGAAACTGCTCCAAAGCGTCCTTGGTCTCCACTTCGTTGGCCTCTAAAACAACTTCCTCCAGGGCCAACTTGTTGCTAGTAACCTGAGTGGCTTGAATTTCTGCAAAAAATAATAAGGGATTAAGCCATCTATTGATGGTGGACCGTGTCTCCACATACTTGTCAGTTGGCCGTACTGCTTATACTCATCCATATCACAACGAAAAGCATCGTCAAAGACCGCCTGACGCTCGCGTTGAAGCTTCCTCAACTGTTGTTCATGATCTTGGATCTTCGCCTGATGTTGGGAAGCAATGTGCTGCCTGTACTTCTCCAGTTCATTCAACTTCTGTTGCTTATGTCGCGTCAGATCAAACTGCTTGTCCAGCATGAATTCCTGCATCTCGCATTCCTCGCAAAGGTCCTCTAGTTTCTCTAGCTCGGTTTCAAGATGATTTCCCATATCCTCCAGTGCGTGAAGAGTTTCGATACTCGCCTGGAGCTTTGATATCAGCGTGGGTATCCCAGCCAGGCTGCCGCTGAGATCGCTGATGGTCCTTCGCTGTCGCTCCGCTCTCTGCTGAACGGCAGTAATCTGTGTCGCAACGGCGGTAGCGCGTTCGGCGTTCTTCTCATTGGCCTCATGAATTTGCTGCCAGTCATCTTCGTACTTGGCCAAGAGACTGCACCCCGCCGCCACATTAAGATGCGAAGGCAAAGCATCTGTCAAATGGAAGGGTGCACCTAGGGACAGCGAGCTACTCCGACTCGAGGCCAGACTCTCGTTCAGTCCCAGGGGCGATGTGGGTGTTGTGGCGGCGCTCGACTGGCCAGAACTGACACGTTGGCGATATTGCTGCTGCAGACTCTCTGAGATCACAATGCCCTCCTGAATGGCGCTGCTCAGTTTTTTCTTCAGACTTCCAAACATGTCTGAAACATCTATCTTTTTAATTTATCTGCTTTAATGCACAGCACAGCACAAATTGTAAAAAACTCACATCAGCGCTGTGGTGCTCGAAAATGTAAATAAAAGAACAGCTGATTATATTTCGATGTATGGTAATATACCCTACCCACAGATACGGCACCACTATTATGGGAAGACGTTTATTCAAATAAAAAGTTATTTATTTTCAATGGAAACCCTCGTTTTAAACAATTTTTCCTTAAATAATGCGAAAATAAATATTTTTCCTCAAAGCAACCCTCTGTTTCTACATACACACATATATTGTCTGTTTAGAATCCATAGAGTAAATAGTCTTGACTGTTGTGGAAGTAATCTCTTTTCCCACAATAGTCACCTCTTTCGGTAAAACATTAAACTTAGTTATTAACAAGCTAATCTTCAGTCAGGTCCACGGAGTCGATGGCAGAACATGCAGCTGCTTGATGCTGCCTTTGTTCAGGTTCCTCGTTTGTTTGCTCTAGTCGGCATTCTTTGATTATTTCTATATCACTGTTGTGGCCGGACTCCAATTCGGTTGTACTATCATCCAGGACTATGAAGTTGCCAGCGACATCTCCTGGATCCGATTCTGTACCCCTACTCTCTGCAGAACTCGAACTAACATTGATGGTTAGCAGCTCTCGTCTATTATAGCGTGATGATATGGACAGGGATTCAATCAGTGGGGAGTCTGGATTTCCATGCTCATCGTCAGACATTAGCTCCCTGGCTATATCTAAATCACTGAGAGAAGAAGACGCTCGATCGTTGGGATTTCTTCCATTCTGTGGGGCTCCGTTGGCTCCGTGGCTGTATGCCATGGCCACGGCTAGTGCCATTTGCTTGGATTGGTGAAAAAATAATTCTGATGATGATATTCCTGTCACGGTGGGTACTGGTAGCTCTTCTGGGCTGCTACTGCTGCTGCTACTACGGCTCCTTCGCCTGAACTTGGTTTTTTTGCGCCGTTTATGTTTACTTTCATGTTTTCTCTTCTTGTGCGAATGGTGACGACTTCGACTGTAACTGCGACTTCTTCTGTTGCTGCTGCTGCTGCCACTCCTTCTGCTACTGCTGCGTCGCTTTTTCACCTTCCTGGACGGACTTCGGTTTCGGATCCGGCTTGAGCTGCTGCTTCTGTTCCGATGTCTGCCCGCATCTCGGTTGTAATAGTAATTGGATTTCCTTTTCTCGTGCCTTTCATCCAAGTCCTTTAACTTTCGCTGGCATTCGGCCTGAGTTCGCTCACTTTCCCGCTGGTTATGGCGCAGCGCAGTCTTAATGGTTCGCCCCAGAAATCGTTTGTTTGGCTTGCCCAGAGGATTCACCTTTCGCTCTTGCACTCCACTGGATGACCTGGGATCTCCACCCCCTATTTCTCGAATGAGCTCGGCAATAGCCTGACTGGTTACAATAAAAAATATAAATTTTAAATACTTCCACTAAAAAATTCTTAATGTTATTAATATTAATTACCTAGTTAAATCGTCCCCATCCCCCATTCTTCTTCTTTTTTCCGAGTAACAATCGCGACTCGCGACTATCGAGCTCTTCATAGTATCGATGACGCCTGACATGTAAGAATATACGGTCCTACTTGACACATCTTCTCGTACAAAGTAAATTCATAAAATTTATATTATAAGAAGTACAGTACCATTAACAACCACAAACTACTGACTACTGTTCCTTGACATCCAGCCAGCCTATCAAATCCACTTCTCCGAAGAAACGCATCCAGGACCGTGAAATTTCCATTCCCCTCTAAGAGCTTGATCTTATGGGCTCAATTGGTTCCTCACTACGACCACAAATTGCCATCAACATGTCTTCCAAGTCTGCCAAGTTCGTTGAGAACACCATTACCAGCAATAAAGTGGTTATTTTCAGCAAAACCTATTGTCCCTACTGCCAAATGGCAAAGGAGGTATGTACAGAAGTGGAAATATCTTCAACAATCGCATTACGCCATAACATAACTTTATGTTCTGTCTCTGTAGCCCTTCCAGAAGCTAAATGTGCAGGCCACAGTCATAGAGTTGGACGGAAATCCAGACGGCGATGAGATCCAGTCCGTGCTGGGCGCGATTACAGGTGGCAGGACGGTATGTTTTGTTTGATAATAAAAGCTTTGTTTGTATCCCCTTTTTGGTAAATTTGCAGGTGCCGCGAGTCTTTATTGATGGCAAATTTATTGGCGGCGGCACGGACATTAAAAGGATGTACGATACGGGTGCTCTTCAAAAATACTTTGCCTAATCGGTGGTGCAATACTAGAGACCTGGTGTATACGTATGCCTGGTGCGCGCTTTTATGTACAAAAGTTATTATCATGATTAAAGATTAAATCAACAAATGTATTCGCAAAATTTCAGCTAATATCGATCCAATCCATGAGTCATTCGTTGCACATGGATGGAACTATTTTCAGTCTGCTCATTCTGCATTCTAGTCAAATGAAACACAACAATGTACTCTGCTAACATTTTCTGAAATTCACGATCTGGTCATACTAAGATCACAATTTTGCTGCAATGGGCGATCTGGTGAAAGGAGAAGCCTCAGAATCCGATGAAGAGCTCCAGGACAAGCGCAAGGTAAATATTTGGTCGGAAAGGGAGGATAGTTGCGCTGCGTTACTGATATACAGCCTGCAATGGTTGTCGCAGATTTTTGCCGCAGAGGTGCCCGGCGAGGCAACCGAGGAGGATGACGACGACGATGAAGACATCTATGAGCAGAGGCGAAGCACCCATGGGGCGTCCAGCACAGCCTCTATCTACCGCAACAACCTGCTGCAGCGCAAACTAAGTACACAGTAGACCTGCTCCTCCCTTAGAGTGCAGTCCAATAATAGTGCAAAATTCCAGTTGAAAACAACATTGCGATTTGGAGATCACTGACAGCACTGACCCGCAGCCTTGTGGTGAACGCCTCTAAGCAGTTGCTGACCACGGACCAAATGCTCATCAAGTCCCAGCTTTCCATGCAGTCGGCGCACACGTCCCTGCAACAGGCGCAGCGCCATGTCAGTGAGCTGCAGTCCCGCACGGCGGCTGTGATAGCTGGCGGCAGTTTCCTACCGCATATAAACATTAGGAATGCCGGATAATTAACTAGAAAATCACACAAAACAACATTTTATTTATGAACGAACAAATATAGGCTAGTCCTCTGTATCGGAGTTGGGAGCATACGCGTGGCTGTTGGGCGAGGGCTCGCGTGGAACGTATGTGCTTTGGAAACATCTTGAGAATATGGTGCGCATCTGGGGGAAGCGTTCCGGGGACTGAGGTATGCTCTCATCATCGTCCCCATGAACGTCGGGAGAAAGCTCGGGAGACTGCGTGGCTGGCGCATCGTCTGTATTGTAGAAGCAAACTTCTGTACTGTTCGGCAGTGCGGGGGTGGCTGCTGGTTCAGGCACAGCTTTCGGAGGAGCCAACCGGCAGGCTTCCTGGACGGCATCGGCTGCTGCCAGCATCAGTGCCTCTGCCTCAGCCTCATCTTCGATCAGGACCACAGTGTCAACCTCTGCCAGCATGCGAGCCTGTTGTACGGACGGTGCTTCTGAGGGTCGAAACTGAAAGAGCGGGCTTTCCATACTCGAATCTATCTCCGCCTGTCCATCCTGTTGTCGTCGCTTTTGCTGCACACTTGGACCCGGAGTGCTGCTCTTGCGCTTTGAAGCTGCAGTTCGCACATCTTTTTGTTGAACGGTCAGGTCCTGCTGGCAGTAATCGTGTGAGAAGCTTACATCATCTGGAGACAGTGTGGACATAATCAAGAGACACTCAATCTCGCCGTGTTTCTTGACTTTCAGCATGCAGGGACTGCCTGCATCGTCGAACTCTAGCGACAACGAAGCATTCAAGCACTCGCCAAAGAGTAGAAAGGCCCTAAACTCCTTGATGCAAAACGTAATGACTGTGTTCTTGATCACCTGATACCGGTCGAATTCCTTGGGTTTCAGTTTCAACTGCGTTCGCATAAATTTATCATTCACCCGCGTGCCTTCGATGTAGTTCTTCGCCACCAAACTGTCTGCGTTGGCCTCCAAGGTTAGTTCCTCCTCAGTGGAATTGAAAATGTTTGAGATGTCCATGAACAGCTTGTGGTCACCAAGTAGGCTACGAGAGGGCATTGAAATGATTGAACGTTGAGTGAATTCGCTCAAGGCATGGAACGTACATATTTGATCTCTGGGCAGTGTCGATGTTCGTGTTGATGTTCTGATCATCGATTATGGAAATGGTGGCCTCTTTGGTGGTCTCAAGCTTGCAGCGCAGATTCACCTGCAGACTGTTCTGATTGTCGATTAGGTTGAGCTCGCAGTACTCCACCTGAAATGTGCATTTTGTTAGAAATAAAGCCGTGGTACGAACTGTAGGACTCCTACCTCGCTCATATTGCGAAACACGGCCAGACAGCACTTCATGGATATTTTACAATAAAAGTCCGAATATGGTGGCATGTCGAACACCTCGAACATGGATCTTTTGAAGAATATGCTTCCCACTGCCGACTGTGTTGCGTTTATGGCCCTCATTTGTAGTCCCTGCTGCTCGATCTCAATAAACAATTCCTTGCCCACCTTGGACAGGGACTGCACAGCCTTGGCCATAACTATGAAGAAGAGGATTGAGTGAAAACAGTGGGTGATTGCCTGTGCTGGCCATGCCTTACCGCGAGCATTGGTGCCTTCTAAAGTGTATTTCATTTGCAAATCGCAATAAAAATGTTAATACAACTTTGCTGGCGTCACGATTCGAAACGGAAAGGTGTGGCCAAAACGTAGAACAATTTACCGAACATTCGCAATACACTGGTATTGGTATATACTGGAACATACTGGTATTAAATGCAGCCACACTGAAATGCAGCCGGTCAAACGCCACATCAGTTCTAATTTTTTTTAATTTTACTAAATTAATTAATAGAAAACGAGAGCCAGTTTCAAATTGTTGAACAAGTAAATAGAGTGCAGGCCCGTTAGGCACAACCTTATTTGAAAGCTATGCAGATGACCGAAAACATACAATAAACACGGAAGCAAACAATGTTACGTCTCTTGTGTGTGTTTGTGCTGCTGCAGTCAGCAGCCCCGATCTTGGCCAGAGCAGAATCCAGTCAGAGCTATCCCATAACCACACTCATCAATGCCAAGTGGACACAGACGCCATTGTATCTGGAGATCGCAGAGTACTTGGCGGACGAGCAGGCTGGCCTCTTCTGGGACTACGTCCGAGGGGTGGCGAAGCTGGACACGGCTCTGAACGAATATGGTTTGTACTTGACTAAATGGTTGAGGTGCTTGATTATTTAGTATTTTCGTCTAGATACTGAGTCGCAGATGTACAATGCCGCCCTAGAACTGGTCAAAGCTCATGTTAGCTCGCCGGAGCTGCCTCTGCTCAAGCTGGTGGTGTCCATGCACAGCCTAACTCCGCGCATCCAGACACACTTCCAGCTGTCCGACGAACTGCGAAGCGGAGGCGCCTGCCAGAGCTCTACTTTCGCCCACGTCGGCACTGAGTTGGCCTGCAGCTACGTGGAGTTGGAGAAGAAACTCGAACTGTCGCGGGCCGAGGACAGTTTGGATTCGCCCGTGGATACCTACAGCTTTGATCACATCTATCCGGGTAGTGAGAACAATACCCGCACGGTGGTCTTGTATGGCGACCTTGGAAGCTCGCAGTTTCGCACATATCACAAGCTCCTGGAGAAGGAGGCCAACAATGGCAAGATTCGATACATCCTGCGCCATCATTTGGCAAAAACAGAGAAGAAGCCGGTGCGCCTATCCGGCTATGGTGTGGAGCTGCATTTGAAGAGCACCGAGTACAAGAGTCAGGACGATGCTCCCAAGCCGGAAGCTGGCTCCACTTTGGATGAGGACCTGGACAATGAATCGGACGTGCAGGGCTTCGACTTTAAGGCGTTGAAGAACAAGCATCCCAATCTGAAGCGGGCCCTGGACCAACTGCGCCAACGTCTGTTGCAGGGCAACGACGAGATCGCCCAGCTAAAGGCCTGGGAATTCCAGGATCTGGGCTTGCAAGCCACTGCTGCTATTGCGGAGATTCAAGGGGATGAGTCCCTGCAGATTCTGCAGTACACTGCGCACAATTTCCCCATGCTTGCCAGGACTCTGCTGGCCCACAAGGTGACGGAATCGCTGAGGGCTGAGGTCAAGCACAACACGGAGACATTCGGACGCAGCTTGAACGTTGCACCTCCGGACGGTGCGCTGTTCATTAACGGCCTGTTTTTCGATGCAGACACCATGGACCTGTACTCTATGGTGGAGACCCTGCGCTCAGAGATGCGAGTGCTAGAAAGTCTGCACAGTAACAATGTGAGGGGAGGCTTGGCCAGCTCCCTGCTGGCCCTTGATCTGACGGCCTCGAGCAAGAAGGAGTTTGCCATTGATATCCGGGACACGGCCGTGCAGTGGATCAATGATATCGAAACCGATGCTCAATACAGACGCTGGCCATCGTCGGTAATGGATCTGCTGCGCCCCACCTTCCCCGGAATGCTGAGGAACATCAGGAAGAATGTGTTCAACTTGGT